TGGGCACATTAAAAGGATCTGTCTATAAATTTGTAATGCAGGTTATGCAAGAATTGGGATTAGTTGGGTTGCGCATTCAGCGTATGCCCAGTGAAGCTGATCTGGAATTTGGTATTCCTTCTCAGTACAGCTACATGACGGTAAGGCTTCCATTTAAGTAGTGAAAGACTGGATATAGGGTTAATTCCCTTTGTGTAAAAAATACACAGAGGGTGATATATTTATAATGAAGAATAATGAAGAAAATATGGACTAAGCCCATATAAGATATGTGCTATTGCTTGTCTTTGTCCTTTTTTCTGTGCTCTTGATTGAACTAATGGAAACATACTAGTTTTCTATTTTTATTGAGACTTCACGGTTGCATTTTGAAAAAAATAATAATACAAAACCATCCATAGGTTGGCAGGATGATGAATCTTAGAGAGTATTTGGAAAATTATCAGAATATACGAAGAACATCTAATATCTAGATTGTATCTTGAATAATTAAGAATGTCTCTGATTATATCATAGTTTCTATAAATAGGGCTAGTGCTTTGTGTTTTACATCATACTGTAACACATCATCAAATCATCAGAATATTCACTCTATTCTATCATTTTTTTACTTCTCAAATGAAAGTTTATGTTGTTCAGAAGGCATGTGATTAGATAAGCAAAACAAAATGGTCAATTTGGTCTCAAAAAGTGTATAGCAGTTTGAAGATAATCCCTGAATTTTGTGTATTTCACACCTGTCCTTAGGTTAGATATATTCTTTTATTTCATAATTAAAATGCAACTTAGTAGCTTTTAAAATAGTAATATATAAGGAGCATTTTAATGATAACATTCAAGAACTCATCTAAAAAACTAAGGATAAAATTGAAAAAAAGAAAACTACTTTCAGGGATTATTTTTAGTTTATCAACATTCAGGGACTAAAGCTTAGGGACCAAATTAGCTATTCTACCAATTAGATATTCAAGGTTTCCTTGTTATGATATGCTAAATCTAAATTCATCTTTATATAGAGATAACTTTTTCAACTTAGAGTGCTTTTGCTAGATAGCCATTTGATTGGATGACTTGGGCAATGTGCAGGTATGTGCCCCATCATGTCATGATTGTTCTACCTTGCGTGCTTGGTGGGAAGAAGATGAAGATAGAAGACTCCGGTTTTTCAAGAATGTGATGGAGTCCGATGAACTGCCGCCAGATCAATGTGTTCCAGAAGTTGCACATTTTATTATAAGGCAACATTTTGAAGCTCCATCAATGTGGGCAATCTTCCCTCTTCAGGTATTCTCGCAGTCATGTTGATATAAAAGGGTGAAAGAAAACTTTGATTTATTGCTATCTGGACCCATTTTCTATTTGAAATTCATGCCCTTAATCTGGTGGAGCATGTGGACAGGACTTGTTAGCATTAAAAGAAGAATATACAACACGCCCTGCAACAGAGGAGACAATCAATGACCCTACAAATCCCAAGCACTATTGGAGATACCGTAAGTCCTAAGCTTTGCCCTCAGTTAACTCTGCTAGATAATCTGTGATTATTGAACTGCCTTTTGTAAAATTATGATCTAAGTGTGTGCTTTGGATTGTTGTCAGGTGTGCATGTGAGTTTGGAATCATTGATTAAGGATATTGACCTTCAAACCAATATCAAAGATCTTGTACGTTGGAGTGGAAGATCACTCCCTAAGGAAGAAGCTTCAGGAGTAGATGCCAGCGTAGTGGCAGCATTGTCAGTAGCAGAAGCTGTTACTGTGTTGTCAGTAGCAGAAGCTGTTTCTGAGAAACAGAAGTTTTCCAGTGCCACGGAAAAGCCTGTTCTTGTCAAATAAAAAATGTGGATGATGTTCAGCCCTTCAAATCTTGTCCCATAACCTGCCAAGATGGAGTTAGTAATAAGGAGATATGTGTTATGTTTTCATCTGTTCCTGTTATGTTTCTTAAAGAACAATGCAAATAAATCTCGAAGCATGTATTATTATCTCTAAGTTTTAGCTATTAAGAGAAATGATAGAAATACATTCTCTTATCAAGCTTAGAAATACCTCCATAAATTTTACTCTAGCTTTTTTTAAAACAAAAATTTATAGACGCTAGCTATAGATAATGAAAGTCACATTGTTTTATAATTATAATAAGGCATAATTATTAGCTTGATTTTCTTGGTTACAAAGTTTTAAGTTGGTTCTTCTCTTTTTAATAATTGTGTTATAACTGTTGAAGTGTTTTGATTAGGTAATTTTTTTTAAATACTAACGATATTAATGATATATTACGAGTCAATTTATAATTATTTTTCTTTTAACTTTTTGGAAAAATATTTGATATAATAAATGTTATTGTTTTAATTTTAATTTAATTTTTTCTTTGATTCAATTATTTTTTAAATAGAATAATATTGTTTCTTTTTAAATTAAAATTAAATTTATTATTAGCATAAATATTATATTGATATTTTTTATTTAAAATATTTTTTTAATATATTAATTTATTTCATATTATTAATCCATATTTTTTTAATATGTATTTTTTTTATAAGATTAAAACTAAACATAAGTATCTTTTTTTAAAAATTATTTATAAAAGTAATAAATTTGGTTTTTTTAATTGGAATTAAATTTATTATTTATATAAATGCTGTAATATTTATATTAAAATTTAGGAGTGAAAATCATAGATTAATAATATATAATAATATAATATGTTAAAAATTTATTTTTAATAAAAATATTAGTATATATAAATAATAAATTTGGTCTTAGAAAGAAAAATAATATTGTTTCACTGTAAAAAAAAGAATAAATTGAATAAAAAAATTAAAGTCAAAACAATAATATTTAACACTGAATTTACACATGACAATGTGCTACTAAGTGACAAAATTATTGCAAAAGAAATTAAAAAAAATCACATAATAATATGTGACATGCCTTTACGCCTTTGGTAATTTTTTTTAAAAGATCTAATTAAAGTATTTTTTAAATTGAGACACAATTTAAACTTTTTCAAAAACAAAAATCAACTTAGTACTTTCCAACTAAAGTAAAAACTAAATGAGTAATTAAGATTATTTGCTAATTTCATGATTAGTTTTTTAAAGCTCTGATAAAAGCATCTTTGGAAGAAATTAAAACCAAGTATTGACTTTATATAATAATATATGGCTGGAGAGTTTTCTCTTCTTTACCACAAAGACATCACATGGAAATATTTGAAAATACCATTAGAGGAAAGCCTTGTCATAATTTCATCTTTCGAAGTCATGACACTAACATTGTTCGAAATACCCAAAATAATAGCAAAGAATTGGTCCAGACACCAAGCATCTTTCCAAAAGACATGATTTAGAATGTTGCAATGTCTTTCCTCAAATTTATTATGATTCTTAAGTTACAGATTTTCACTTGAGCGAAAATGGCCAATCTGTCAAAAATATCTCCTTAAAATAAATAAATAAATAATATTTATGGTATAAATTTCAAAAATTTTTAAAAGTGTTATACGTGACCTTAAAATAAAAAACTAGTTTATTTTACAGAACTAAAAATATTTAGCCTATAATGTAAGTTTAAAAAACAATTGACTAAACTAAGTTTTGTGTCATAGGTAGCTGTCAGTTTTGTTTTGTTTTCATTCCGTTTAATTTTGTTTTTGCGTGTTATGTTGAGAAAGATACATTGTTGTTTTTTGATTGTCTGAAATTAAACAACTCGAATTTGGCACAAAAATGAAGGTTAGAGAATCTGATTGTGAGGCAGTTTTTTGAGCGAAACAAATAAAGAAGAAAATGCAGGGAGAAACAAGAAACCTGCGATGCGGAGAGCCGTTTAACAGCCACAAACCAATAAAAGCAAAATGGCAGCATGCAACGTAACAAACTGACCACAACGTATTTTTGGGTTAATGTCAGATGTCACGTCGTGAAAGGGCCACGCAGGAAGCAAGAAGCCGTTACAGTTTAAGGTTGTTAGTTAAATAGTAAATTAAGAGGTTTGATATAACATAAAAAATACTATAGAATTTGTGAGGGAAAAAGATGCCAAGTGTCGGGAAAAATAGAGAGGTTGGGAAGGAAAAAGAGGAAAACGAAGTTAAAAAGAGGAAAAGGATGAAAAGGTGAGAGAAGGGGTTCGTGCTCAGAGGCGGGGAATATTAACGTCAGGAGTGGGAGTGGGAGTGGGAGTGAAAGTGGAGTTTTATTTCGATATTACTCCGGCGACGGTTTGATTCTCTCGCCCTCCCGTTGCTTCTCGTTTCCCTGAATACCTTCAGAGTGTTCAGGGTATAAACATCGTAAATATTCCTTTTTCTACTTTTCACACCAATTTTAGACATATACTTTCTCTTTCAAAATGCACCTTATAATCTTACCATGATTGTCATATGTCATTTTTTTTCATTGTGTTTCCTGATTTTCAATCACAAATGGTTTTAAAAATGGTGGCATTTTGGATGCGAGGGATGAATTTTGTTTGTTATATGACATGCTATATGTACGGTTCCTCGTTTTCGTTTCAGCCTTCTTTTTTACATTTTTCTGATTGGGAAATTTGCAGGTTATTAGGGATTCAAGAAAAAAAATGTGCAGGTTAGCCAGCTTTTCTGCTAGTATGTTATCCAGAGTTTAAGCGATGACTTCACCATTTGAAAAATTTCCCATAAATTAAGCCAATACACGGTAAGAAATTTGGTTTTGCGTTTTCAATTGATATATAATTTGTTACACTCAGAGACTCCCTTTTCATGCATAGATTCTGCACCGATGTTTTCCTCTTTTAAAAGCAACGGCAATTGTAGAGTCATTTTCATAACAAATTTTTCATCTGGTTTATCGTCTTTATTTCTTGTTCCATCAATGCTACGTGCATGTTATATTCTCACCGTAGCCATCTAAAACAGCATTGTAAGGAATTTTTGCGTGGAAAGATTCTAATTTGCATTGCCTGCACGAATTTTGTTTGTCTTCCATGGCATTCATCTGGTTAATGTAACTTTTAAAATAATAATTAAAAAATTGTATGATGCTATCTTACATGACAATCGATTTACGTAGATATTGCATGTGATTTGAAATTAGAAGCATGGTGTTTGTGATGAAGGTGCAGACGCCATCGTCTTGAGAAAAGTAGTTTGGTGAGAAGAAGAGTGTCCCTTGGAATGCAGAGCAGCAGCCATTCTCAAAATCTGAATGAGATTTATCAAAATGGCTGTGACGATTGACAGACATGAGGGGTTTGGGCCGTTTAGCCGATCCCAGAGATGCAAACTCCAATCTTACGGTCACCTTGATCCGAACGTTGTCGAACATAGCAAAAGTGGTGGTACTTTTTCACACTCCATTGAACTAGCATTTGAAGCCTATAATATTCACCGCAGTTTCTCCACTCCATGCCTCCCCCTGACCACACTGGTAGGGGAAGAGCTCACTTGTCACCCTCCAAGGATTGAGATTGTTCGTGGAAGTGGAGCTCCAGTACATGCTCTGGTTGTTGAGGTTGCCATAGCTTTGGCCTCAGGTATCAAACCAATACCCATCCCGAGTGGCCTAGGTGGTGCCTATGCTTTCTGCAACCAAAATGGCACCAACATCGCTGTAGCAAAGCCAGTAGATGAAGAGCCTTTCGCCTTCAACAACCCAAAAGGCTTAGGGGGTCAAATGCTCGGCCAACCTGGCCTCAAGAAATCTATTCGCATTGGTGAAACTGGTATCCGAGAGTTAGCTGCTTATCTTCTTGATCATGGAGGCCTTGCTGCCGTGCCTCCTACGGCTTTAGTCAAATTTTCTAATGCTGCATTCTTTGTCACTTCCAATGCAGCACCATCTGCTCTTCCAATGCCTAAAGTTGCCTCTCTCCAACGCTTTGTTGGTCATGGTTTTGATGCAGGAGAGTTGGGTCCTTCTTTCTTCTCAGTTGCTTCAGTCCACAACATAGGGATCCTTGACATTAGGATCATGAACCTTGATAGACATGCAGGGAATATGCTTGTGGCCGAGCATGACTCTAACAATGCTAGCTATGGTGGTACTGTTGCTGACCTTGTTCCCATCGACCATGGCTTTTGCCTCCCTGAGTGGCTGGATGATCCATATTTTGAGTGGCTACATTGGCCACAAGCCTCTATTCCTTTCTCTGACTACGAACTTGACTACATTTCCAAACTCGATCCCTTCAAAGATGCAGAGGTTTTAAGAACTACCATTCCTTTACTCGGGGAATCCGCAATACGTGTTCTTATTGTTTGCACCGTTTTATTGAAGCAAGCTGCTGCTGCTGGCCTTTGCCTTGCTGAAATAGGCCAAATGATCACTAGGAAATTTCGTGAAGGTCAAGAGTTACCGAGTGAAATGGAAAACATCTGCTTAAAAGTCAAGGCTAGCATCCACACCAAAAACCGCACAGAACAAGGGTCTAAATGTGAACGTGCTGAAATTTCCTTCGGAGACCTCAACCAAGTCCAGTGGGAAGCGTTCTTGGAGCATTTTGGTGAGCTTTTGCACAGTGTTTTTGAGGACAGGAAGTGCAACGCCAAAAAATTGGAACATCTTGGAAGTTACTGAATTTTAGGAGGATAGGTTGCCAAAGCGAGACACCAATTACTGTCGCTTGTAGCTGTACATTAACACCGTTCATAGTGTAGCTTTCAACTAATTCCATTCTGCAACTTTCTTTATCTTTTTTTTTTCCCTTCAAACCATATATATATATTTACCCTTTGTCAAGTAGACCTGTATCCTATATTTCACCTCTGATTATGTAATTAATTACTTTTGTATTTTTATTTTCCCCATTCAAAATGTAATCAAGCATTCGTTATATTGATCCTTCCCAATATAATGTAATGTTGCTTGTGTAACTGTTGCGCCCTTCAATTTTATAAGTTAAAAAATAAAAATAAAAAATATAATTCAAATATTAATATTTTTATTATTTGGGGTTTTCTCAAGGGTGTCACACTATCATTTTTTTTTTTTCATTTCTGTGGTGCATGCATGCTTCAGGTACATAGTTGAAAAAGACACATGAAAAGAAGAAAATGAAGAAAGAATATAGGTATGACTACTGTGAATCCAACATATGATTTTGGGTTCAAATTGCATGGATGTTGCACTTTGAATATTAATTTTTCTCATTATTTTATTACAGGGTTAAAAAAATGATTTGTGAGAAAATGAATTTTTGATATATGGCAAAATATACTCATATATATGATGGGAAGAATTTCAATATTGAAAGTATGAAGAGAAATCGAAAGTGAGTCTTCCCTTAGCTGATTAAACTCTGATGGAAACAGTGGGAGAAGGGAAATTTGTGAATGCAACAGAGTGTGGAAGGGAAAGAAAAGAAAGATCAAATGTCGGCAGGCAGACGTTTGTACAAGTGTGAGGGGAGCCTGGGAGAAGGCACACCTTTTAGTGGTGTCCTCATGTATGTGACCAACCCAGGATTCTCACCCATGTCAATCTCTTCGGGCTTCACTCCCTCCGCCGGATTCCAACTGAAATGGTGCAAAAGGTGGCCCAACATGGAAGTCACCAAGTTGATTCCAAGTTGAGCACCGGGGCAAACCCGACGACCCGCCCCGAACGGAAGTAGTCTAAAGTCATGCCCTTTCATGTCCACATCCTCCTCCAGAAACCTCTCGGGTCGGAACTCCAACGGGTCCTTCCACACGGCCGGGTCACGGGCCACGGCCCACACGTTGACATGCACGTTGGAGCCTTTGGGGATGTCATAGCCTCCAACTTTGACATTGGCATTGGCCCTGTGTGGGAGCATGAGTGGGGTTGGTGGGTGGAGCCTCAACGACTCCTTCGCCACACATTGTAGGTATGGCAGGCTCAAGAAGTCTGCTTCGGTCATCACCCTTTCAAGCCCAATCACTCTGTCTAGCTCCTCTTGGGCCTTCTGCTGCACTCTTGGGTTTCTTATTAACTCCGCCATGGCCCATTCTACAGAAATTGCAGAGGTATCCGTCCCTGCCGTGATCATGTCCTGTGAAATTAAGAAAATATGAGCTCACTGTTTACACTTTTGAAACTAAAAAAATAGATAAAATTGAAAGAGTGTTAGAAGAAGGAGGTACCCAGAGGAGGCCAATGATGGTGTCTTCACTGAGGTCATATTTGTCTTGCAATGTGAGTAGGGCATCGACAAAATGTTGTTTGGCACCACCGGATTTCTTCCGTGCTTGGGTGTGCTCTTCCATGATCGCTCTGGTGAGTCTATCACGGCGAGCTCCGTGCTTGGCAAAAGCCTCTTCTTCCAGAGGGAACATCCACCGAAGCCAAGGGATGTGTTCCGCCATGGCCAGAGATGCTCCTAGCTTTAACCCATTTTCCACAACGCCCTTGAATTCCACTCCTTGTTCCTCTAATACACCTTCCGAGTTCACAAATCTTTTCCCAAATGCCAATCTCGTTATGTTGTTGAATGCCACTTCCCCCAAGAACTTCCTCACCAATATTCCCTTCCCCAAATTCTCTGCTCAATTACACATCACAAAAACCACTTATTTTTATTTTATTTTATTTTCACACAAATATAATATTATTCTTTTTCATTTTTTACTCTTTTTTTTAAATATAAAAAATTACTTTTTCATAATCATTTTATCTTTAGAAGGTCAAATACACTTATTCTTTTTCCTGCCTTACTACAATACCGAGAAATTAGGTGGGAAGCATCAACTATATATATTTTTGCACTGTTTGGGTGGGTAAAACTTTAGAGTTCCTTACAAAATAATCAACATCACAATCACCCTACCAAACCATTAATTATTACGCAAAGCTTTTTGAAAGAAACAAGAAAGTTTTTCAATTCAATTTCAATCTTCTATTTTTAATCCTTATAAAACTTAATTATTTTTTTACTTTTTCAAAATTATATCATTTTAATCTATTACTAATGTGGTGACATAATAAAAAAATGCAAGACATAACTTGTTAGTGGCTGAATTTGTTGAACTAACGTTATCCATAGATATATGTGGACCTAAATTCTTAAGGAAGGCACCTTTTTTTCTTTGCACACGAAATAGGTTCACTTCACCAACCACGTCTACATAACCATAATTCATCGCATCGCATTTACGCCTTCACCACCTAATTTGTTGATTGATTGTTACTAATGTCCTAACAGATTTATATAATCAGCATACCAATTTGAAATTGTGTCTAAAAGTTATATATACATAGTTTAAGATGAAAGGAAAATATGCTTGTTATGAAATCCATTTATTAAGCATTTAGAGGGTTTTTTTTCCTTTTATTTTCTATCCTTGGTTACAATTATAGTCTATTTCCTTTTCTTTCTTCCACTACTCTTTCCCATCACTCGAATTGTCTTGTATTTATGATTGCAAATACTTCATTTGGGGAATTATCAAGTTGCTCAATGCCAATAAATAAATAAATAAATAAATAAATAAATAAATAAATAAATGTAAATCAATGGAAAAGCGAAAACCACATGAGTCAAAGCTCAAATCTCGTGATTATGCAGAGAAAATAGTTGTTCATCTATATTTTACTTATAAGTCATAATGATGTAGACATGGGAATCATACTAAAAGACTAAGTGAATTAAAATTATAATCACTACTATTTACTTTTATTCTACTTATGTGGATTTAAACTAACTGACATCTATATTTGTAACAAACTTTTTTTTTGTCGTGACTTTTAATGAAGAAGTATATATATAACGTAAAAATAACCATGTGTAAATATTAAACCCGATTTTAAAATAAACGAAAATCAATTTATAAAGAAAAAGAATGTGTTCCAACCAATTTTTTTTCTAGTTTATCTTTTAATAATTTTAAATAAGATTGTGTTTCCTAAAAAAAATAAAAATATCTTTTTTTTTGTTAATAACTCGCCGAGTCATGACGCGTGTCAAGAAATAGGAAAACAAATGAAAAATAGTATTCCCAGCAATGGATACTAAAGTGATTTTTCTTGCGTGGATGTAATAATAAAATTGAACTTTATAAAAAAAAAAAAAAACTAAATTGACCTCTCGCAAGTTCATAGAGGTAATCAGAGTGAAACTCTCTACCATCAGAACAATCCTGCTAGGTTGTTGTTGGAAAACTGTGTAAGAGATCATGTGTATGATTTCATGAAGTTCTTTGTTCTAGTGTTTTTTAATTTCAATAAGTTTATCATTCAAATAATATTGCCAAAGCAGAACAATATTGTAATTTTCGAGAAGGAGAAACGTACCAGTAGTGGTGCAGTGGTGGAAAATGGATTCAACCATGGCGGTGACCTCGTCTTCTCTAATGGGCCTGAGGGCCTCGAGACGTTTGGGGGAGAAGAGCTCTAGCGTGCACACCTTCCTCACTTTCACGTAGTGGGGTCCGTAATCGGCCCAGATGAGATCCTTGCCGTCGCGGCTGAACTTCGCCGCCGAGCGGCTGCGGTGGCGGTCAGCGAGGTGCTGGTCCTGCTCTTTCAGCACCTCCTTCGCCAGCTCGGAGTTCGAAACGATGACGTTCAGCGTGGAGCCGAACCACACCGATATGATAGGCCCGTATGACTGTGCCCACTCCGCGAAGCAGCGGAAGCGGACCGGTTTTATGTCGTAGAGGTTACCGACTACCGGCCAGGGCCGTGGACCCGGAGGCAGTTTGAAACTTAGCCTCCGGTACAGCGTGTAAGCTACCCAGACGGTGATCAGTGATAAGGGTAGAATGAGAAGAAGAGCCATTGCAGAATAAAAAATTGAAAACGAAGTAAAGAAAAATATTGATTAATGGTGGAGCCTGTGCGGTTCCTGAAAGAGTAGGGGGAAGGTTGATCTTGATTTATATTCCATAACATCGACAGGGAGTTGGTGAAAATTGGATGTATGTGTGATGAAACGTTTCGTTTAATACATGCTAAGCATGCATAATGTTTTCAACTTCTGTTTAATTTCCGTTTCTTTATTTTATTTATGTGGCTATATATATAGTTACCCATAATTTATTTGAAATTATCACGCCCACTATGCAAAGCTGTAAAGATAAAGCATGTGAAAATAGTTTTCGAAAAATTGGAATTAGGTCGATGTGTCTAATAATGAGGTGGGCTGAAACATGTTAATTCCTTTTGACTTTTGCACCAAACATATATATATATATTATAAAGTTTGGCATTTAATTTGAAAAAACGAAAATAGAGTTTGTGGATAGTAATTTTTTGTAATTGGGTTGATGGAAAATGATTAAATTTAGGTGTTTGAAGAGTTATATTATGATAAAAAAATGAAAAATGAACTGTGGTGGGTGAATGAAAGTTGGTATTTGGTGAGAAGATAATCGAAATTGAATGGGTTGATGTGAGGATGAGGATGTAGTGACGGTTGCAGTGAAGCACTGGACTATGCTTTTTGGGATGTTGCGGTTGGTGAGGTGAGTGGCTTTTGTGATTTAAAATTGCAGGTATCCGAGTGGAACCCTTGAAAAATTTTCTTTATAGGTTAAAATAAAGCATGATTTAATTTATCAAAAATGATTGTGCAGGTCTTCAGCTTTAGATTGTGGAAGAATCAAAGGTTGGTGATGATGTAGACCCCTCCCTACTGTGCAGCCCACAGACATCTGAGAAGTGGAATTTTTCAATTTCGAGTGGAATTGGTGCTAATTATGTTTCAGTTTGAAGTTGGTGTAACCTCGATCACAACTTTCTATCCATCATCATCGATAAATATATATATTAGAGAAATAGTATTATAACACATTTTTAAATTCACATTTTTAAATTCACATTTTTATATTCACTTACACAGTATAAGGGAACTTACACAGTATAAGGGAAGTAAAATGGTTATATAAAGTATATTTTTTTTAAGAACAGAGAATTAAAAATAT